CCTGACAGACATCCTATTCCCAGGATACAGGACATGTTGGACAGCCTTACTGGTAGCTCCTGGTTTACAGTACTAGACCAGGGAAAGGCTTATCATCAAGGATTCCTAGACGAAGACAGTCAGCCACTCACTGCATTCATCACCCCTGGGGTTTATACCAGTGGGTTAGAATCCCATTTGGACTCAGCTCCGCCCCAGCAGAGTTCCAGAGGAGCATGGAGGAGTGTCTTTGGGGTCTGCGTGATGATATCTGTCTACCGTACCTTGATGACAATTTGGTCCACAGTAAATCTTTTGAGGACCATGTTGAGCATGTAAGAGCCGTGCTACAAAGGTATCAGAGACATGGGGTCAAACTTACTGCTAAGAAATGTGAACTGTTCAAGCCTAAGGTCAGGTTTTTAGGTAGAGTGGTGTCAAAAGATGGCCATAGTATGGATCCAGCAGAAGTCGCCTCCGTGATGTCACTTAAAGAGAAACACCCTAGTACAGTGGGGGAAGTGAGACAGATTTTGGGCTTCCTATCTTATTATAGAGCCTATATACAGGACTTTTCACGTATCGCCAAACCTTTGTATGAACTGCTAGCAGCCCAAACAAATGCTAAAAGTAGCCCACAGGACTTAAAAACACAGAACAAGAGAAGGAAGGAGAAAAACAAACAGGCTAAAGGACAGTTGCCTTCATCAGCCCCTGTGAAATGGACAGAGTCACACCATCAGGTTTTGTCTTACTTAGTCAATAAACTGGCCAGTCCTCCGATCCTAGGCTACCCTGATCTAGACCAACCATTTGTGCTTCATACTGATGCTTCTCAAGCAGGGTTAGGAGCAGTGCTCTACCAGCGCAGTAATGGCAAGTTAAGAGTCATAGCTTATGGATCTAGAACGTTAACGCCGCCAGAAAAAAATTACCATATGCATGCTGGCAAACTGGAGTTTTTAGCTCTCAAATGGGCTGTCTGTGAGCGCTTCAGAGATTATTTGCTGCATGCGCCATCGTTTGTGGTTTATACAGATAATAATCCACTCACCTATGTGTTAACGACAGCAAAGTTGAATGCATCAGGTCAGCGTTGGGTGGCTGAGCTCGCAGATTTCAACTTTACGATAAAATACAGGCCAGGAAAAACAAATGCAGATGCAGATTTTTTATCCAGGATGCCCCTCGATTTTGAGGACTATATGAACTGCTGTACACAGACGGTTAGCCAGGACGTGGTTGTAGCCTCACAGCAGGGCATATTAGTGCAGCAAACAGAAGCTCTAATGTTTAACGCTGTCTCCTTCCACACCCTTCAGCATCAAACACAAGCAGAGGAACTGCTGGACATGATTCAGCCAATACCGAGAGAGGAAATCTGTGCAGCCCAGCGGCAAGACCCCGTGATAGGTAAAATGTACGAGTCTGTAGTGCAAAACAAAAGGCCCACCACACAGGACATTAAGACTGAGAGCACTGAGTTTAAAGCATTGGCTAGAGAGTGGAGCAAACTGAAAATCAGAGAGGATGGAACTATGTTCAGAGAGACTCGACACAAAAAACAACTAGTTCTCCCCTCAGTTTACCACCCACTAGTGCTCAAAGAACTACACCAACAGATGGGCCACTTGGGATCAGAAAGGACCCTAAATTTAATTAGGGATCGTTTCTTCTGGCCTAAGATGCAAAGAGACATTGAACACTTTGTCAGTAATGTTTGTGAGTGTCTCAAACAGAGGAAGCCAAACAGACAGGCACGGGCACCTATGTTGAGCATAGAGACCACTCATCCATTTCAGTTGGTTTCAGTTGACTTTTGCACCTGGAGCAATGCAAGGGGGGGTGTGAATACATACTTGTAGTTATGGACCACTACACCCGCTTCGCTCAGGCCTACGCAACTACAAATAAGACAGCTAAGACTGTAGCAGAAAAACTATTCAATGATTATTGTCTCAGGTTTGGTTTTCCAGAAAAACTACACCACGATTTGGGGCGAGAGTTTGAGAATAGACTATTGCACCATTTAAAAGAACTGGCTGGTGTTAAAGGGTCACACACTACTCCTTATCACCCACAAGGAAATGGGCAGACCGAAAGATTCAACAGGACCTTGCTCTCGATGTTAAGAACACTAACAGAGGAACAGAAAAGAGACTGGAAAAGCCACCTCCATAAAGTTGTACATGCCTACAATTGTACTGTTAATGAGGCCACTGGCTACCCTCCTTTTCTCCTAATGTTTGGTAGGTCACCACGGTTACCAGTTGACCTCCTCTTTGGCATTGAGCAGGAGGACAGTTCAGGCTCCTACCAGGACTATGTGGACAGATGGAGAAGGAGAATGGCTGAAGCTTACACTGTCGCCTCCAAAAATGCAGCTAAGTCAGCTGACCGAGGTAAAAGGCAGTACAACAAAAGTGTGCATGGTCCACCACTTCAAATAGGGAGTCGTGTCCTTGTTAGAAATGTTGTGGAGAGGGGTGGGCCAGGGAAAATCCGCTCCTATTGGGAAGACAACATCTACATCATTAAAAGACAAAAGGGAGAGGACAGTCCTGTGTTTGAGTTAGAGCCAGAGAATGGTAAAGGCAGGACAAGGATTTTGCACAGGAATATGTTGTTGCCTTGCGATTTTCTTCCGCTCCCAGCAGATAAGGAGGCAACTGTAACTAGTACTAAAACAAGGAAAAGACATTATAACAAACGGAAACAAACATGCATGACTCCGACACAAGTGGGGAGTGAGGAGGAGGAGGACACAGATGAGTTTTCTGATGCGGTTTTCACCTGGCCTTATCCTGAGCCTCAGTGTTCACCTACATTGGACCCCACAGCGGCAGAGTTTATGCCACTAAGGGACGGGGTGAGCCAGATGAGCTTCCTCACATGTCAGGAGATGGCCAGGGGGACCCCAGCCAAGCTGATGAGGAGAAAATGGACAATAGGGAACCAGAGGATGTGGCTATTGTGGGGGCAGGGGAGGTGGACAGCAGCTCTGATGTCGAAGAGGCTTTGGAAACAGACCAGCCAAGTCCATACCCAAAGAGAGAAAGGAGGAGACCACAGACTTTGACCTATAGTAAACTTGGACAACCAAGTCTTGAAGAAAGAATAGTGGCCACCAAATGTGTGAATATTCAAGGTTACTGGCGACCTTGGTAAAAGGGGAAGATATAATGTTTACACTTGGTACCCCTATTTCAGATTGTAACAAATGTACCTATGTTGATTGAAATATTGTGACACATGGATTGCAGGCCGAACATGTGTATGAGTAAAGGGAAGATGCTTAGTGTTCAGATGAGATGTGGACAAAGTTAATGCCTTTACAGGAGAGTACAAATAGCATGGTAATTTGATAGATTGAATTGTGGACAAAAAAAAAAAAGCTGAACTGATTATATCAGGAGTATACACAACTACAGTGCACGGTAGTTTGGGTAACTTAAAAAAAAGGGTGTAATGTAACCTGGTACATAGTCCATGCCATTCTATTGTTCTCTATGGATTGTCGATTATAAGGTACATTTATGTCGGGACGACATTTCTCGAGTGGGGGAGAGTGTGAGAGATACACATATCGACGGGGCCGGGTTATGTTAAAAAGTATAAATGGTTATACTTTGTTCATTGGTTCAAAGGTACCCCACACTTCTTTTTTGTTTGCTTGTTTGTTCTGGTACTCATATTTACAAGATGGCATTGAACGCCCCATTGGTGTGTTAGAAAAACTCTTTTGTACATATGTTCCTTGAAGGGGTTTTTGGAGTGGTTCTTTTTCCACCGCAGCAAAGGGCTAGGAGTCGGAGAGGAGCTGCTGTATGTTTTTGTGTTGATCGGATTGTGAAATAAAACATATACAGTGAGAAAGCAACTCGAGGAGTCATCCCTGCCTTAAAGCTGCAACTTAAACATGAAGTATCTGTCCATAAAGTCTTTTCAAAGCGAAAGATGCTCCCTCCCTGCTACAATACTGCATGTTTACCCCCGGGGGGCGCAGCTCCACACTAGTTCCTCCAGTCTTCAGCATCTGCAGAATGCAGAGTAAAGGTCGTGTGAAGTTCAGCAGCAGCTGCAAGAGGCGCGTCATCGCTGTGTTTACAGTGCATTTGAGGTCATGCTTTCCCTTTACTCAGCATCTCCTGTAACTCAGGTTCACTCAATGAAATGATGCGTTTGAGTCTTAATTATAAACATTAGCACAGTTTATATCGCATGCTGTCGTCATAGCCCGGGTAGAAGGGCATGAATTTGGGATCATTTCACAGGGAGACCAGATCCCAACAAACCAAAAAGTGTTTGTAAAGCAAAGTGTGTAAAGGTCGCTAATGCAGGGTTTGGCATTACTAACACAAACAAAAAACTGCTTTTATTTGATTTAAATGTTTCCTTTCTGTAGTGGAATTGTTCAGCAGCGGGGTTTCCCCTGTGATTTCTGCTTTCAATGCAAACAACAAAAAGCAATTTGTTGTTTCTCATTTGGAAGGTGACTCACATGATTTTATCCTTTCCCTTTGTAATCCATCTCACTTCTCCCACAGCACAGGATAACCCCACCCACCAGTCTTATTTACAAACGGAGATTCCTGCCTTGGCATCTTTTTATAGCTCTGTGTGCTGGATGATGAAACTTGAGCATTATTTTCCAACATGGGAACATTTAAAACCTGCAAAAATCCTCAGAGTCCTACTGCGTCTCGCTAAGTAACTGAAATAAATTTTTGTTTTGGTATGTAATGCAATGTAATGCAGGCTCGACCCCAAGTAAAAGATGGGATGTTCTGAGAAGATAGAAGTTAAAGTTAAGTGGGCTAAATAAACTTAATTAAAGTATACTTTTCTTCCATAGTTTGTGCCTAAAAATTGCCAATAAAAATTACTTTAAATCCACCTTAAATCTACCCTGATGGCTGCTTTCCCCCTTCCCTGTGTGAAACTAAAGCCCTAATGTAGATTTAGTTGTGTCTTTGTGTGTGACTTTTTCTTTCTTTCTGTCCTTGCCACACTCGTCTCAGCTGCTCAGTGAGGAAGTGGACAAAGTGAGTACCGTCACCAGCAGGAAGCGCTCTCTAGATTTAAAACATGACTCGTGTTGTCAGCTTTCTTCCTTCCTCTCGTCTTGTTTTCCAGGCAGAACACGAGCTTCGCGTAGCCCAGACGGAGTTCGATCGCCAGGCTGAGGTCACCAGGCTGCTGCTTGAAGGCATCAGCAGCACACATGTGAGTCACCGCAGGCCAGTCACCCCACTGGGCTCCTGTTAAAGGCCTGGCGGTGTAAATCACTTCAATGTTTTTGTCAAAATATTGCAGATGAACACATGGGAACCAAATCATGTTATTCTCACGGTGATCTTAAATTGGTTTTAAATAAGCTTGAAATGAAATACATGAAGGCAGACAGCTTTTAGGTGCCAGATAAAGCTTTGTTGATGTTTACACATGTTTACACATCAACGAAGCTGGCAGGCTTTAGAAAACTTTTGAACTGTCTGGATTTTTATCCAGTCGATGGTGCTGAGAAACTTTTATGTGAGCCCACCCTTCAGGCGGAGAGGTTTGTGTGGGAGTTTGGGAGCATTTCAGTGGCCTGACGTCATCTTTGTCTGTGTGTTTATATTGTAATATATGTGTTTATTTTTAATAAAAGTACACACACACACACACACACACACACACACACACACACACACACACTTGTTTTCATATCTTGGTGTGGACATCTAATTGACATAATGCTTTCTCTAGCCACTTACCCTAACCCTTAGCATAAACCTGATCATAAACTAACTGTAACCCTGAAACTAAAACCACATTTTGAGCCTCAAAAATGCCTTCAAATTCGTGCGGACGGGCATTTTGTCCCCACAAGTATTGTGGCATGCCAATTTTCACAAAGACTTCTAAACCAGTACACACACATACACACCCTCTCACTAACACAAACACACTCACACCTCATTGTTTCCAGACGACCAGCTTGTAGATATGTCTCAGTATTACAGTATGAGTGGAAACATACGAAACACATCGGTGGTAACAATGTTTCAGTATCATCACAGCTTCATCTCTCAGGTGTGCGACACTCATTAAGCATAATTTAAAATGCCGGCTGACTGCTTGATAAGACACTCACTGAAAAAAAAGCTGTTGCACAGTTAACGTCTACGGGTTCACCGCTGTTTTGCACAGACGACAGGGAAACACAAGCGATATTTTTCCCAGCATGCCCTTCCAACATAACCATTTTCCTTTTGAACCATTACCAGTTTATGCAGTATACATTTTCCTTATAATCAAAAGTTAAAAAAAAAAAAAAGAGCCGTGACTAAAACACACAGGGGGACTCTTTTAATGTGTCCATCCTACTGTAATGCTGTGAATCTAAGCATCCTGTGGAATATTATCAGGCTGCCATGATTAAAGCATTTTTGTGCCTTTAATCATGGCACAAAGCTGGGCAGTAAATGGTGACTGTACAGCTTTGATTCTACTGTTTGACTGTCAGTGGTCATTTCTAGAGCTAAATATTTCAGTCCCATCTTCATCCATGAGTGGGAAAACTGGCTGTAAAAGGTGCATGATGATTTATAAAATCTTTGGTGTCCTTCACTCCTGTTGAGTAAATCATCTCCTTTCTTTTCCCACCAGCTCAACCACCTGCGCTGTTTGCAGGACTTCGCTGAAGCTCAGGCCACATACTACGCTCAGTGTCATCACTACATGCAGGACCTTCAGCGGGAGCTCAACAGGTCGGCATTTATTTGCAGAGACTGCTAGGACTCCCACTGACCGTAATATTTCTTGAATCAGAAACATTTTTACCTTTTCTTGAATTGTTTAAGTTATGGGGAAAGATCAGAGTTAGTCACATCATAAAATACTGAAAATGACCACATAGTCTGGGTCTGGTTATGTGCAGCTGGGAGTTGGTGCAGTCTCTCAAGGACCCATGATGGCTTTGTTTCCAATAATTAACTCGGATCCAATGTCTGACTTATCAGTAAGGCCTTCAACTAAGCAATCACAATGATCAATAGTTCATGACTATGATTTTCTCTGTGTTATTGGAGGGTTTTGACCTTACAATATAAATCACCTCTAAAGGGGAGTCACAGAGGTTTTCACACCATCTACAAGCAGAAAACAGGTACACAGTCACTCTGCCTTAAACACTGAGATTTCTCCTGGGTACCTGAATAATGTTAGCAATAAAAAAACATCCAGAGAAACATCCAGACTCAAAGAGATACCCAAAACTAGTCCAGTCCTTACTGACCTCAGGGTCATCCAAAATGCTGCTACTTACAGGAACTAAAGATATTAGTAGAAAGGGATGGTCCCCAAACTCTTCCCACAAAGCTGGGAGCATGAACTTCTCCAAGATATTTTGGTGTGCTGAAGCATCATGAATTCCTTTCACTGAAACTAACCAACTCCTGAAAAACAACCCTCCACCATAATCCAACAAACTTTACACTTGGCACAGTAAAGTCAGACAAGTACTGTTCTCCTCTCAAACGCCAAACCCTGACTTGCCCATCGGATTGCCAGATGGAGACGTGTGATTCATCACTCCCAGTGTTGGGAAGGTTACTTTTAAAATGTATTCCATTACAGAATACAGAATACATGCCCCAGAATGTATTCTGTAACGTATTCCGTTACGTTACTCAATGACAGTAACATATTCTAAATACTTTGGATTACTTAATATATTATCATGCTTTTTACAACAACGTGAATGTACTATTGCTGTGTGATTTATTACTATTACTGAAGGTCCGCGACTCCGAACTGTAGTAAAGGGACCTCTGACTAATACGGCGGGGTCCCTGTCGGCTCGTAGCCGAAAAATAGCTTTACTTTGTTGTGTAGGTCAACTTTTCTTGCGAAAGACAGAGAGAGGCGTTGAAAGACTGCTCCAACGGAACTTATTGTTTTCGGAGGAAAACAGGAACACGGTGTACAGTCGAGTCTTAATAGCTTACTTACAACTGGGCTCGTCAGGCACTCTTCTTGGCTGAAGTGGTTATTATTATATTTACATGCTTCCAGCTCCCGTTTTTCCTCGATGACAACTCGTACCTTTCCACTCCCCTTTTTCTACCTCCTCGTGCTCACAGACCCATAACGTGTATGGCAGTCCATTCTCCCTGCAACACGGACTATACTGCCCATGATGCTACATTCTTTAGAGCTATGCTTGTAGCGTTCTGCCTGTTAGCTTAGCACAACAACAACAACAACAACGAAAAGGCGCTCTCTCACCCAGGAAACACACAGTCGCAGAGAGAGAGCGTCGCCCTGTAACCATGGCAACCGTAACGCTGCCGCCTGGAACAAAGAGCGTAGCTGTCAAACAAAACCGAAACAGTCCTAACCCGCGACAAAATGAAACAGGAAAGTACCGCAGTGTAATCCATTTATTTCAACAAAGAAACTGTATTCTAAATACCACCTTTTTAAACGGTAACTGTAACGGAATACAGTTACACATATTTTGTATTTTAAATACGTAACGGCGGTACATGTATTACGTTACTCCCCAACACTGATCACTCCAGAGAACACATCTGCACACAGAACAGTGAACACTTTGGTAATGGAAGGGTTGGATACAGCTGGTCACCATGGAAACCAATTCAATAAAGTTCTCTATGCACTGCCCTGGAGCTAATTGGTGATGGGATTTCTAGCTCTTTTTAGAGAACCGTCTGTTTCGGCTCCGAACTGACTCTTCAGGTTGTTTTGTTGCTTTAATTAATTTATTATTAACAATAATATTTAATTATTTACAAAAGGAATTACTAATGTAAAAAAAAGAAGTGGTTTTATTTATATATGTTTATATATAAATATATGCGGTGGCCAATAGCGACTTTCCTTACTGAGGAATTGGCAACACTGGCTCTAAGAGCCATTTCGTTCGCGACCGACACATCACTAGAGCTAATCTGAGGGGCACATGAAGCTTGGACGTGCACTCTATGTGCCTCAGCACCCATTGACCCCACTTTGAGTTTACATGGCCTACCACTTCATGGCAGAGTTGCTGTCATTTCCACTTTGTTATAATACCACTAACAGCTGACTGTGGAATATTTAGTATTCAGGAAATTTCAAAGCTGGACTTGTTGCACTGGTGAGCTCCTATCATAGTACCACGCTGGAATTCACTGAGCTTCTGTGAGCGACCCATTCATTGACAAATGTTTGTAGAAGCAGTCTACATGCCTTGATGCTTGATTCTATACACCTGTGGACATGGAAGTGATTGAAACACCTGAACGCAATCATTTGGATGACTGAGTAAAAACCTTTGGCAATACAGTGTAGCTTAAAGACCTCAAAATAGCTACTATTTAAACTAAGCACTTTACTCTTCACCTACTTGTAGTAACTTGAGCTAACCTGCATCATCCTTTAGTAATGTCACTCTTTGCCTGTTCAGTCTAATGTCAAAAAGAGTCAAAAGTGGTCCAAATTATTTCCACTGCAGTGAAATGACTTTGGCTGATGTCTCGGGTGTTGGAATAAAATCCTGGCATCCATGGCTACGTCCACACGTACACGGGTATTTTTGAAAACGGAGATTTTCCGTGTTCGTTTTAAAAAATAATCCCGTCCACACGTAAAGGCAGAAATGAAGAAAAACTCTGCTATGAACATGCCAAAGCAACAGGTGGCGATATATTCCTAACCTGTAGAAATGTTGACCAATCAGAAGTCTAGAAGCCTTGGTGGGAAAAAGTAAACAAAGCTGGGGCATAGAAGCAGAACCGAGTCGTATGTGTGGACGGACAGTAACTGTGTGTATATGTAAGCATTTAAACACTGCAGAGAGTAGAATTAACAGTAACAGTATTGTAGAAATTCATTTCACCGAAACAATAACGTGGCGCACAGTGTGACGTCAAAAAAGGCGCACACCTTTGACGCTGCGTTTTCTCCATTTTTCTAGTCCACACATAAATGCAAAAACTGAGTTTTCAAAAATATCCACCCTGGCCGGAGTTTTTAAAAATCTCCGTTTTCAGTGACCAAAAACGCTGTTTACGTGTGGACGAAAGGTGCAAACGCATAGAAAAATCTGCGTTTTCAAAAATACCCGGGTACGTGTGGATGTAGCCCATGACAGGGAGGCTGATTTATGAAGCTGGACCCGTCATTGGCCAGAATCTGGAGGCGTTTGTGTCAGTGAAGGTCAGAGGTCACTGAACACACTGCTCTCCGTTTGTTCCCACTGATGTGAAAATGTAAATAAAAGAGCCATGCAGTGTTTTGGAAATCATTAAATGCCAGTATCTGATTAAAAATAAGAGATCATCAAATGACATTAAAATGGAGTGTTTACGTTTGTAAAACGTTTTGAAATATGCCATACTGAGCCAAAAAAACAGAAAGACGTTCCCTCAAGACCAAGTTGGAAAGACTTGATTCATAGTAATCTTGAGATCTGGTTCAAATCTGAAAACTAATACTTGTTGGTTTCAGTATTCAGACAGCATGTGGACTCAATCATATCAGAAACCAGGATGGTGTCAAAACATGTACACGAGGTCCAGACACTGAGCTGCCGTCTTTTTCGTAACCTCCGGTAACATAGTTTAAACTGGAAAAAACTTTTTTTGATGTTGTCTTGTTATGCTTGTTTACATCATCATCAGTGATGCTCGCATTAATGCTGACCCTGGTCTATGAGTTTTAGAGCTCATGCCAAACCATGTAAACAAAACTGCTGCTTTCACTGGACCCCACGTTCATTTAAGCCATAGGTGTCAAACTCTGGCCGCAGCCTAATTACATTTGGCCATACCAAATTATTATTAGAGCTGGCCTACTGGTATTATACAGATAATATATATATTGTTTAGTATTAAGCTTTGCTTGTTCCATATTCAGTTTTTCAGCAAAACTTGTTTGAGTCCATAAGAAGAGATTCATTTTTACAATAAATATTGATGTTAGCCCGCGACCTTGTTCCAGTTTTGAATTTTGGCCCACTGTGTGTTTGAGTTTGACACCCCTGATTTAAGCCATCGTGGGGAAAGTTGTAACTGTGGGGGGGTTACATCTCTTGGCCGGCTTGGGAACACTTCAGTCTCCTCAGAGGAGCTGGAGGATGGAAGATATGCGGAGATTTTGGGGGAATGGCCATCAGCAAAATGTGGTTTTAACATTTTGTACGTATTTCAGCTGCATGACTCCACATCAGGACAGCCCAGCTTCTAAACAGGCCTGCCAGTAATTCTGAAGCAGTGGATCCTGGGGTCGTGTATGAGGTTATGAAGTGAGAGATGAAAGCTTTTTGCTTATAAAACTGTTGCTAAAAGTCCAACTGCCCCCCCCCCTGAAATAATTGCATACACTAGAAGAAAAAAAGAAACACCAATAAAGCCTTAAAGTTTTTGAGATTCTTTCAATAAAAATAGGCTTTAAATTATTTTTTGTAAATAATAATTTTTATTTCTTCCTTTTTGGAAGGCATAAAATGTTTGTTTACAGTAAGTAAACCATACCTACCATGTATGTGTCTTCACACAGATGTGCTAATGCTGTCAGTGCACCCCACTCCTCTGCCTCCGTCTGCCCCAACCCTGTGTCCCCCGCCTTTCTGTCTGGACCGGCATCCTCCGGAGCCGCTGTCCCTGCCGCCTCCTCCTCATCCAGCCAGAAGCCGGTCACGCTCGCCATGGAGCAGTCACAGCTGCCCGTCACGGGTGCCAGGAAGGCCAGGGTCCTGTATGATTATGATGCCCACGACACCAGTGAGCTGTCATTGTTGGCTGATGAGGTACAGCAGAGTCAAGCTGAGTCACCACATACACACACTTCACTTCACTTCACTTCACTTGTAAGTGAAGTGTGGCTCTTCAAATGCCTTATTGCTATAGGTCGCCTTTTTTTGGAATCTTTTTGCAGCTTTCAATGTTTCCACACAAAATACAGATATAAGCTGTCCAAAACAATGCAAACTGTTAGTGTTTGTTTCAATGGCATGTGAGACAAACCAGCACCTGCCTTCGTCTCAGACACTCCTGAGCCTAAGGCTACGAGTATGAATAGAAAGAGCGCATGGGCATGTGTAGCATTTTTTTTGTGATCCCTTTGAAAACTCATTGCCCTAAAATCCCGACGTCAGGTCGAGACATGATTCTCAACTTTTAAAAAGATATCTATTGACAGGCTGTGAATCCCCCGATTGCAATAGTGCAGTCATTATTATCACGCAGGGTTTGCACTAAAGAGACGGAACTTGAAAGAGTGTTTAATGTCAGATCAGACATTTGTAGTTTAACTTCTAAAGTTCAGGCCACACAAACCACAACCCTATATTTCTGAAAAAGTCCTAAAGAAAAAATGTTGATGTTTCAAAGATTTGAGAGAACAACTTTCCAAAACCTAAAAACCCCTTGGACACGCCGTGACCTTGAACATATTTTTGGTTATTTTTCCAGCAGATGTCGTGGACTGAGCCATGTAGCACCATTTCTGTCTGTCTTTTCTGATTTGGGGTTGAGCTTTTTTTTTTTCTCAAATCTCTTTATTTGGTTTTCCAGTGTTCTTTATCATAAAAGGCAACTAAGATTCAAATATAAATGATTACATATATACAATAGAAATTAAACACAGAAAAAAAAAAAAAAAAAGCAACAACAAACAACGTTGGACAGAGGATGCTATTTATCGAACTAACAATGAGGCTCAGTGACCATTTATATCTGTACAGTATTGAAGAAATCTATAAAAGATTGCCAGGTTGAATGGAATTCCTCCAACCTCCCCTTTAGTAGGAGTTTAATTCTTTCCAGCTGCAAGTGTCTCAATACATCTTGTATTAACGCTGATGTGGTAGGAGGCACCTTTTGTTTCCAATTTAGTAGAATCAAACGGCGTGCCAGCAGCGTCACAAAACGTATCACATTATTTTGGGTGGCTGATAGGTCTACAACAACCAGCTTCACTCCAAATAAAGCACAGATTGGGTCTGGCTTAAGTGGTTTTTTTAGAATTTTAGACAAGATATGAAAGACATTATTCCAATATGTTGTTATACAGGGACAATTCCAAAACATATGCGCCAGTGAAGCAGGTTGCTGTTTACATCTTTCGCAGGACGAGTTTACATTGGGGAACATTTTTGACAGTATCAACTTTGATAAATGGAGTCTATGTAGCACTTTAAACTGTAAGAGTCCATGACGAATGCAAACAGAGGAAGAGTGTACATTTTCCTGGGCTTTTGTCCATTGATTATCTGTAATTCTCGTACCAAGGTCACACTGCCAGGCCTCTCTCAGATACTCAAGTGTGACAGTTCCATCCAGTTGTGAGTGCGTTGTGAATTTTTGTTATTAGTCCTTTCTTGAGTGGATCAAACTGAAATAAGTTATCTAAGGCAGAGTCTGGGGGCCGACCTGGAAAAGATGGAAAAAGCCTCCTTACAAAGCTTCTGCTCTGTAAGTATTTGAAAAAGTCATTACTATGCAAGTCAAATTTTTCTTGCAGTTGCCGGAATGTGGGAAAAACCTTGTTGATGAATAAATCCTTTGAGTGCAGCCCATTGTGGTTCCATTGGAGAAATGAAATGTTTGAAAGTGATGGTGTGAATGTTGCGTTATTCATGAGTGGAGTTAGTATGGAAGCTTCCCTCCACCCGAAATGTTTCCTTATCTGTGTCCAGATTTTAATTGTATGAGAGACTACAGGATTTTTAAAGTCATGTTTAGGGATAGGGAGAGCTGAATAGATCATAGCTTCTAATGAGGAGAAGCTTTCATTCTCCATCGTTGTCCAGTCGGCCCCCTTAGTCTGCAACCAAAACGACATGGAACGAACATTACATGACCAATAATATAGACGGAAGCATGGTAACCCCATCCCCCCCTGACATGTCGGTCTCTGTAGGTAGCTTTTCTTGATTCTTGGATTCTTTCTGTTCCATATGAAATAGGATATTAAGGAGTCTAATTTATTAAAACAGGCTTTATTAATCACAATAGGGATACACTGAAATAAAAATAAGAATTTGGGAAGAATATTCATTCTAACAATGTTTATCCTCCCTGCTAGTGAAATTGGTAGATTAATCCATTTGTCTATGTTATTTTTGGTTTCATCATATAGTTTAGAGAGATTGTGTTTAAATAAACCATAATAATCCTGAGTGATATTTATTCCAAGATATTGGAACTGATTAGAAACCCGAAATGGCAAGGTATTGAAACAACTTGGGTTACCTATTGCTTTAGAGTTGACTGGGAATAGCACACTTTTAGATAAATTCAATTTGTATCCTGACACTTCTCCAAAATTCTGCAAAATTTCCATGATGACTGGGACTGATTTTGCAGGGTTAGAAATATACAGTAGTAAATCATCTGCATAAAGCGAGACTTTATGTTCTGCTTTTCCCCTTCTGATCCCTGTATATTCGTCTGTTGAGCGCAGTAGAAGAGCTAAAGGTTCAATAGCCAACGCAAAAAGCAGAGGTGAAAGAGGACAGCCTTGTCTTGTTGAACGATTCAGATCGAAATAGTCGGAGTGGACATTGTTTGTTTGTACCGACACTTTTGGTTGGATGTATAGTAGTTTAACCAGAGAAATAAATTTAGGGCCAAATCCGAACCTCGACAGGGTCGAGAAGAGATAATCCCACTCGACCCTGTCGAAGGCCTTCTCCGTGTCCAAAGAAAGCAAAATTTCAGGACTAGGATTGTGCTTGTCTTGCGTATAGATAATGTTTAAAAGTCTTCTAATATTAAAAAACAGCTGCCTGTCTTTAATGAATCCTGTTTGGTCCTGAGATATAATTGTTGGCAGAACAGTTTCCAGGCGTGTTGCCAAAATCTTTGCAAGTATCTTATTATCTACATTAATTAAGCTGATCGGTCTATATGAAGCCGGGTCTAAAGGATCTTTTTCTTTTTTATAGATCAAAGAGATGCTTGCCTGATATAAAGTCGGCGGTAGGGCTTTTTTGTCCAGCGCCTCATTATATACTTCTAGTAACAGGGGTGAGATATGGTCTTTAAAGGCCTTGTAAAATTCCGAAGTATAACTGTCTGGACCTGGAGCTTTGGAGTTCTGTAAATTATCTATTGCTTGCTGTAGCTCTTGTATAGTTATGGATTTTTCGAGTTGTTCTACTTTGTCTGGGTTGATCACAGGTATACTAAACTTGTTCAAGAACATCTCAAAAAGTGCGGGGTTCTTTTTTGATTCTGAGGTGTATAAGTCTACATAAAAACTTTTGAATATACTACTTATCTCCTTTGGGTCCCTTGTTATTTGTCCCGTATTGGTGCGAATTTCTGTGATCAATCTTGTTGGAGCTTGTCTCTTGATTTGTTGTGCTAGAACTTTACCCATCCTTTCCCCCTGTTCATAATATTTATATTTTGCCTTGGTTAGAAGCTTAACTGTTCTTGTAGTATACATCAATTCTAAATCAGCTTGCAGGGACAGTTTCTTCTTGTGCAAGACTGTTGAGGGCCGCGGCGTGTGTTGTCTGTCTACTCCCTGTATCCTGTCTTTTATACGACTTTCTTCTTCTTGTTGTTTATTCATTAGACTCTTCCGTGAAATTAACTGCCCCCGAATGTACACTTTTAGCGCTTCCCACAAGGTAGACTTGGTAATATCCGGAGTGTTGTTAATTGACAGGTAGAAATCAATTTGGTTCTTACTGTCTTCTATCCCCTGTTTATTTGATAATAAACTATTATCAAATCTCCATATCTTTGTTGTGTGATTGAACCCGAGGGCTAGTTGCAAAAGGAGGGGGCTGTGATCCGACAACATTATTGTGCCATATTCACAGCGCTTTACTGATGGCAGAAATTTAGAATCGATTAAAAAAAAGTCCTGGTATATGTCTGGTGGACCGGAGAATAGAATGAATATTGTCGCACATTAGGATTCTGAACTCTCCACGGATCAATTATTCCATAATTTCCCATAAATTCCTGGATGGCCTTTGCCGATTTAGATATTTTGGCAGGTTTACTCGATGATCTATCAAGGTTAGTATTTAACACCAAGTTAAAATCACCTCCTATGATTAATTGATGAGTATCGATATCCGGAAGCTTTGATATTATCGAACGTATAAATTGCTCATCGTCCACATTCGGAGCGTAAATATTTACTAACATAACTAAATGACCATAAAGTTTGCCAGTTACAATAACATACCTACCCTGAGTGTCTGGTAGTATTTTTGCTGCTGTAAATGGTACCGATTTTTTGATCAGTATGGCTGTGCCTCTGCTTCCAGCTTTAAACGTAGAGTGAAATATTTGTTCTATCCATTTGCATCGTAATCTGTTGTGGTCTTGTACTTATAGATGCGTTTCTTGCAAAAAGATTATATCCGCGTTTACTTTTTTTAAGTGAGCTAAAATGTTTCCTCGTTTCACTGGTCCCCTGAGTCCCCTACAGTTCCATGTTACAAAGTTGACAAGATTTTGTGGTGCTCTCTCAGTAGAGGTACCAATAGTTATTAACTGTTACTGAGTGGTTGATGGATCTTACTCTGAGCTTTCTAAAAGCTCAGATCCTCTGAAATTCACAACTTTCTTGAACCAAACTAAAGAACAACCTCATGAACTCAAACCGGAACCCTTTCTTCATTTGCAAAGAAAAGAAAAACAATTTTTGTCCAGCTTTTTACAGGCTGTAGACATCAGACTCACCACTAAACTCCTTAAGATTGTCTATTATTATATGCTATTCCCTCCTGGGTCATGTTTGTAAAGATGTGGCTAAGCGGTAGATGTGGCTGGGTTCTGG